TAATTCAAAATTTTAAGAAGAGCCAAATGTGATTTAGGATTTTGTAAATCTGTTTAGGAAGACCACAGACCTGGGAATTCTGCCTCTATCTAGCTGATGACTAAAAATTTTACTGGTCACACTGAGCCTTGATTTTCAGAACTCTGGAATGGGAATACTAACTTTCTGTGCTTAATTGTGATATGTATATGATAGTAGGTATAAACCACTGAGGGCAGAGCCTGGCTAAGTCTGGTTAAGTTCTCAATAAATGGTTGCCATGGTTAATAAGGCAATTGTAGGACTACAGATGTTATTCAGTTAGAAAAGTGCTTGCACAAACCTTGGAGTTCAATCCCCAGGACCTATAAAGAACTGGGTGTGCTGGCATACGCCTATAAGCCTGTGGAAACGAGAGATTAGAAGTTCATTCTTGGCTACATGGTGAATTAGGGGTCAGCCTGGACTACCTAAAACCCTATCTTAAAAAAATAATAATGGGGTTATAACAGTGAGATATTGGAACTCAAGATCTTCATGGTATGGTTCTATGCTCTACTCTTCCTGAAAGTAGAACTCAGCAGAACTTCAAAGTATAGATCTCCTTCCTTGGACTTCTCTGCCTGAGTTGGCCTTTGCTGTTTTCAAGGCTAAGCGTTTGGTTTTAAAGTCTATAAATTCTGCAAATAGAGGTAGTGGTAGCTCCTAAGTGCAAGTTCGAAGCATGCTGTATAGTAACTGGAATGAAGGTGTGGTTCGAAGCTAGAGTTGCAGTAAATATTATTTGGGGTTTTCTGTATCACCTTAGATCATATAGTTACCAAATAAAAGACATAAAGCTTCATATTTATAATATGCCAGAAAAGCACTAGACCTGGGTAGGCATTAATCCTCTATTTTGTCTACTTCCCTGTCAATAACCCTGAGCTATGGATTGCCATGTTCCACCTGGGCTGCTCCTACTGAATCGCCATGGCCATATGCTCACGATCCACTTACCCCATGGCCACTTCTTACTTTTTCCTCCTCTTTCCTCTTCCTCCTGGTGGTCCCTGCCTCAGACACCTGGCCTGGGATCCGAAGCCCCACCTACCTCTCTTCTGCCCAGCTAGAGCCTGTAAGAATGTTTAGTAACCAATCACGGGTAACTTGGGTGGGGTCAAGGTTTACACAACAAAAGCTGGTATAAGTGTGGACCTGCTCCTCTTGAAGCGACTAGATCTTGGAGTACGGATTTTAGCATTGGAATACAAGCAGCATCAGAGGATCCTACGGCAGCTAGTCAAAGAGTGAGCTGTCAGCTGAGGTCTATCATTAATCCACAACCAGAAACTAACTTTGGTACTTCCAGGTGGCAGGGGCAGCCCCTCTCCAAGGGGAGGGGACCTAAATAATGAGGAGAACTTACTGTCTTCGATCACAGGAAGTCGGGATGTTGGGCAAATCCCAGTTGGGCTTATTGAGCAACTAACTCCACAAGAGTCTTCAGAACCCAGGGCCTCACGTCCATCAAGACTGTGTGTGAAGCTTCATATACATTCCTCCTACAGCTTTCCTGTCCTTTGTTTAAAAATCACCTAGAGACAGAGAAAAAGCATTTCTCCTCCTCTCTCTTTAAAGAGTGAAGGAGACTCCTTCCAAATCTAAAACCTATCTATCCTTGAATCTCATGGATACAGATTGAATCATCACTTTCTAAAGCCTAAGAAGTATCAGTGTGTTAGCAGTGAAATGCCCAGTCAATGATTTAGGACACAGCCCCGATCAGAGAGGTCCTGGCAAGCCCTGGAGCACACAGCTTCCCAACTTCTGAATAAAGTAGATAGTCAATAAAGGAGGAAAAGTGTCTACACAGATCAACAACAGCATCTGGCCCCTGCCACCAGGTTCATAAGAATTGGTTAGGTGTATTTTTAAGATCCAAACTTCATATGCAAATCTTCCCACTAATCATATAAAAATATCAGCTTTGAAGTTTGTCACCTGGAAACTTAGCATAACAAAGGCAGGGCAATGCTGTCTCCTGTTATTTTTAGAACCAGGAGTGCAGCTCACAAATGAATAACCTGGCTGTAAGAGGAATTCAGGAGGAACAGAAAGCGTTTGGCATGGAGGGTGCTGTGCACTCGTGGTACTATCAGATGTTAAGAGAGAAGCTTTTCGATAGAGTCAGAGAGTCTAGAAGATATTCCTGAGGTTGTTTGTGGCTGTATGGTCCAGTGAACCTACTACCCAACACTGAGAATATAAAAGGCATTAGAGAGAAAGATCTCATTATGATGCCCTTTACAGATGCCCAGATTCCCATAATGTGAACAATCCAGTTCTTTATCTTGACCTTCCATACTGGTTCATAATAAGAAGGACTGATCCCTGGTATACAGGGACACATTCTACTGCACCTGCACCTGGCAAAGTGGGGAGCACTGCAGGGAGGTCACAGCTCCACATTGAAAGACACCAATCAAGCCATAAAGCCAAACAACCTAGGGCTATTGTGATACCTTGCCTGGAATTGTTGTTCTCTTAGCCCTTGAGTGCTTTTGACACATGTCCAGGCTAATGAATAAATTGAGGCTGACTCCTGGAATGAAAATCCTCTCGGCTCATCCAAATCTACCATTTCTTGGTCAGGTAGCAAGCCTGTACAAGAAACAAAGCCATGTCAAGCATTAGGGCAAAAGACCATAGTGAGGTCTCTAGGGAGAGGCAGCTAGAAACTCTGTGTACCTATGAGAGGCAGTGGGTGGTGATTGAGACTTGCGCTTCAAGCTACCTTTCTGTCAACTGCCTCTACCCTTTATGTCATATCAATATAGCAGAGAGAACATTCAGAGCATAAGTGAAACTCCCACCTTCAATTTCTTAGAGAAATTCTGAGAATTTTGCTCAGATAGCACTTTGGAGAATATCATCAAGGGACTCACTGTTCCTTTTGCCTAGGCACATCCTCCAGATACCCTCTAATTTGGGGATTCAAACTGATTAGCAGACAGGCTCCACTGTGCTGTTTCTGAGTGAGGACCAAATCTAGGGACTGGTGAATCCTCAAGACTTCTGGTCTCCTAAACGGCCCTTCTAGGCATCTTTGGCTTTGAATTTCCAATATTCACAACCCAACCCATTAGCACCAATATCCTATTAAGAGACCTTCAGTTATTGTTAAAAATTAAACTTTGAAAGACAATGATAGAAAGATGAGAAGAAAAAACTTAGCAGAGGAAAAAACAGAGTCAGTTCTTGGAATATGAATCCTATGAAACAGAGAACCCGGGGGGAGAATTTTCACTGGGAACACGGTATGAAGGGACATGTTAAAGTCTACATGCACTGTTGTTGTTCCAGAAGATTTTAGCAACTGGGTTTGCTTTCAGCCATTCTATGTGTATACCTGAAGCTCAGGCATATCACATTGTCTGCATGAGCCTTGGCTTGCCATTTATATAATGGGATAGACTTCCACTTGAGGTTTGTCTGCAGACCTTGAGCATATCTTCTTCTCTTCTCTTACAGATGTTGAGGGGCAATGAGGCAGGGCAGGAGTAACTCACTGAGTTTCTGCAAATGTTGCCACATGGCAACTCATCCCAACACCAAAGGAGAAATTTATTTGGATAGTTCTGTGGTCTACCTGCTCTTCCCTGAGACCACAACCCTCATACCCACGGGAGATCAGTCTTCATGTCAGGAGCCTGCCAAGACAGGCTTGTCCCAATTTCTCTCGCCTCCCAGCAAGAAACAGCATGAGCACAGCTGGACCATCGAAGCTGTGTCACTTGGCCAGAGCTGTAGGATAACCTTGAGTTTAGGGTCAGTCTTGGTGCAATATGGTTTAGCCTTCCCTAGCTGTGTTCTTTAGACAAAAAGGTTACTGTCTCTAGGGTTCACTCTTTCTCCTCCTAGGGTTAAAACCGTAGCATAGTTCTGATGTAGTACATAAGGTCATTGAGAGAAAGTGCATCCTGCAACCCTATGTGCCTACTATGTGGCAAGAATTCCACATGTAGCCACTTACTTTCAGTGACCCAATTGCTGGGTCACTAAAAGATAAGACATAGTCATTGCTTTATCAATCTGGTTTGGGTATAGGTTGAACATCCCTCACCTAACAATCTACAGTTAAAAATGTTCCCAAATATGGGATAGTTTTTATAATGTCATGATGGTATGAAGGAAAAACCTTCTACCTGGTTATATAAGACAGCTTGTAGTCAAACCACAAGCAACTCAAAATAAAGTATAAAATTACGTTCCAGCT